GCAGCGGGTTAAAGGAACAGCCACACAGGCCCTGTGTGAACCCAGGTGGCAGCCATGGGGGCCCAGCAACAGGTGCCATCTTCTCCCAACAAGAGCGGTCCGGGCGAAGCCTCAGAGAGCAGGTGCTACCTCTGAGCCATGCCCAGCGGCCAGACGCCCGAGGGCCTCGCCGAATCACAGCCTGTGGGTCTGCTTAGGTACCCAAAGGATGACATTCCAGCACCACTCACACCCACGAGCGCACCTCTGACCTGTGATTGTCTTCGAACCCATGCTTTTCTCTCAGGATTAGAATGAGTGCTGGCCCTGGCCTGCTAAGGGCAGAGAGGGCTGTTGAGATGGTTAAATCCCTGTGTCAACTTGATGGGCCACAGAGTGCCCAGATTTGTTCAAACATGACTCTGGGCGTTTCTGGATGAAATCATTTGAACTGGCAGACTGCCCTCCCCAGCGTGGGTGGGCCTCGTCCAATCAGTCGAAGGCCTGAATAGCACACAAAGGCCAATGATCCCCAAGTAACAGGGAACTTTTCCTGCCTTTGGACTGAAACCAAAACACTGGCTCTTCCCAGGCCTCAAGCCTGCCCACCTTGCAGATGATGCGACTTGCCAGCCTACTCATGTGAGCCTCTTCCTCATAACAGAGCTCTTTCTACACACACATCCTGTCGGTTCTCTGGCGCCCTGACAGTCGGGAAGTGCACACAGGGCCAGGCAGTGCTCAGGGGCAGGAGGGAGGTGCTCAAGTTACACTCCACCCACCAGACCCCATCCGACCCCCGTTTCGGGGACTTCTAGGCAAAGGGGCACTTTGGAGAAGCGTGTCCCCTGCAGCCTCTGCAACATGGCCCTCCAGACCCTTGGGAGACTCGGGCACAGCGAGGGCCAGTCTCTGTCACAAGCCTGCGGCTGTGCCAGCAGCACAAGGCAGCTGCGGCCAGCAGTGTCAGGTGTCGCTGTGTCCAAGGACACTTTAGACACTGAAATTGGAACTCACACCACGAGTAAATGTGTGGAGGAGGCGGAGCCCTCCTACCCACGCTCGGGGGTCTGGGACCCTGGACGCCCTCCTCCGCCCTTGGAGCCGCAGTTCTGACTACACGGCCATTTCCGAGCCGGGACGGCGGGCGTACATACCTGCAGGCCCCCCCACCACTCCTGCCAAGGCCTGGTCCTGCGCTGTGGAGCCAAGGACGGGAGAGGGGTTAGACTCGGCCCGCAGCTGGGGGTACGGGGTGTGCCCAATTCTCGTGATTTCTGCAACCCTCGCCCTCGGGGGCACCCAGAGAAGAGTCCCTCTGAGATCTGTGCCCAAGGCTTGGCTGGGGTGGCTGAAGGTCAGCATCATGGACGCCCCAGCGCCTGTGAGGGACCAAGGGCCTCGCTTTGAACAGGAGCTAGCAAAGCGCACGCGGAGGGATCCCTGGGCAGGGCTCCTGCTGCTGCCCGGCCCCGCCCCCACTCCCGGCTCCGCCCCCGCCCCGCCCACTTACACTGGATCTGCTCGTGGACCACCAGGGCGAAGTGGTCCATCTCCAGGATGTGCGACAGCTTGCCCAGCGGGTCGGTCAGGCGGATCTGGAAGAGAAGCCGCGGTCAGCGCCCACTGGGCAGCCCAGCAGGCCCTCCGCGGAAAGGAGCGCAAGGCAACAGGGGAGGCCCGGCATGGCTCCAGCGTTTGCTGATTTAGAAACAACGCGGGAATCAGAGGGCGACGTGACACACAGAAAGACACTCGGAGGAGCCATCAACCCACGGAAAGATGTGGAAGAAGATTCTGCACATATCGCTACGTGAAGGAAAGGTTGCCACCGGGATTCCAACTCGGGGACATTCTAGAAAAGGCGAAACTCAGGAAGAGATCAGTGGTTGCCCCGGTTTGGGGGGAGGGGGGGAATTAGGCAGAACACGGGGTGTAGGGCCACACAGTATCGTCCTGAGGCGTCATGGGCACATGTCTCTACACTTGTCACAGCCACAGGGCTGCAGAACACCAAGCGTGACCCCTCATGTAAACGTGGGGCTTCAGTTACTAACTTGGCAATGCTGGCCGTCAGTGGTAACAAACCCAACACCAGGGCCAGGTGCCATCATCTTGGAGGGGGGAGGGGCCTGGGGGACCCGCTCTGCGCTACCTGCTCCACAGACAAACCATGGGGCCTTCTAATAAAAAAGAAAAAAAGGCACTGAGGGTCCAGCTTTCCAAGATAAGGACAGCTGGACTCGCCGGCAGCATCCCGGGAAGGGAGTCTGGGGATGTGGAATGGAGAAAGCCAGGCGTCAGTGAAGTGGGGGTCGGGGACACAGGGTGGAGGGGTGAGGCTGACCCAGGGTGGCTGTCCACCCTCAGCTCGTCCCACTTGGTCCTCAAGTGACCGCCATCTGACCCAGAGGCCCCACGTGGGCAGAGCCTGCCCTGCTCCCTTCCAGTCTAGGTGGGTCCACCTGTAGGACCCCCCGCCCCCGCTCCCACGTGGGAAAGGCTGCCTGGACCCCCTTCACCCACACCATCAGTGGCCGGCCCGCGGTGGCACCTGGCACAGCTCCCATCACAGGCAAGACCCTGGAAACGGGTGGAGACGACCCCAGGGCCCCTCTCTCGGCCTGGGAACTGGGGAGGGAAGTGGTTTGCTATGGGCAAGAGGCCTAAATGGCCCCAATCTTTGTCTCCATGTTCTTTCAGAAGTCACATCTGAGGAGGCTCCCTGGCCCTGGGAGTGTCACTGCTGGCACCCCACGTGTCGGAGGGCTCGGTCAGCAGCTGCACTCAGGTGAGGACAGCAACACCTCTCCCTGGGGAATCTGGCTTGGGGCGACAGGCTGA